CCACCCATAACAGTGAAAGATGCAGGGTATGATAATGATCTGATTAGCTAGTGGCAACATAACAGAGCTCAGCTCACCCTGTGTGCACTGGCAAGGAAGCAAGGCTTAGCCTCCAGCTCGCCCACAGCTGAACATATTATGCTACCATGGAAACTAAAGAAAAATGACATGCACGCAATCCGTGAACGTGGCGGAGGTGTGCTAGGGGCTGCTATGCTTCCCAGCGTGGGCGCCCATCCTCTGTGGGTCTTGAGAAGGATAGTGGATGGGACCTGGGGCTCTCATGAAGGGAGGTGGGGGCCCCATGGCATGGAACATGTGAGGCCCAAAACCTGCAGGCACAGAAGGAAAAAGTGTCAGATACAGGAGTTCCTGACCAGGTCTCCTATGCCACTGCCACCTGTCATTCACCCACTTACAGGGAAGCACAATCTACTGATCCCTAGGCTTAGATGCTCCTCTCTGCTCCCTCCCAATGGCCCCAGTACACTTATCCCCCTACCCTCCTTTGTGCCAGCCCAGTGGGCAGTGATCTCAAGCCCCAGATGCAGAATTGTCCAACAAAGGTTGCAGATGCCACTTCTACAAGTTCCTGCTCCCTTTCCCCCAGCATTATGTTCTGAATATCCAAACATCCTCGGTTTCACTACCAAGAACAGCAGAGGCATCCAGTGCAGCTTGACAAACCCATCACTTCCCTAAATTTCACAGGAATAAGGCTCCGCTACTTGAATGTACAACCACTCAAACACTGGCTTTCATGATCTGTTCAGAAGTCGCACTTCAAAATTAGGCTTGGCTAAGCAAGATGGGTCTCTGTGGAATCCACAAGAACCCCCCCGGATACTGCAGGATTTTGGACAGACATTCTCCCTCTGTGGGCATTCTGGCTTCACAAAACATCGGTTCAGCAGCCTGTGTTTTTTCATCAGCCCACATGGCATGCAGCAAATACCAGAGTGAGGAAGATAAATGAATTACCTGGAGGTGGTGGCGGAGCTATGCCGGGAGGCGGCGGCAGGGCAATGTTAACCACGGCAGGAGGGCCGCTGGGAGGTAGGTTGAAATAGTTTGCAGATGCTTCTTCTTCGGCTGCTGGAGGAGGGGGAAGAGCTGTGGGGGACAAACATGCCTTGGTTACTGCCGAGACTCTTATATCAGGGGAAAGAAACTAAGTCTCTCACAGAGCACTGCAATGAACTCTTCCAGCAGGGCTTCTGCTTCTAGTGTGCATCCAACATCAACTGCAGCCCCTGAACACTTCCTGCCATCCCTTCCACAGGAAAGCCACTAGAGTCTGATCCTGAACAGGCACCAACCTGCCTTCTCTAACAGGTGACATCAAATACAAAGGATTCACTAGTCCAAAGGCCTGGCTGTCTGACTTGAATCCTCATCTCCTACCCGCTGTACCTCCTTGTTCATTCTGCAAATAAGCCTGTGCTATGATCTTCTTTGTAACCAACACCCCCCGCCCCTCATTGACCACAAAAGTAAGATTCATTAGCCAGGTCGTATGTAACTGCAGGTTCACCAAGTACCTGGGTCGTCAAACATACTCTTTCTATTCCCAGCTTCCACTGACATACGGAGTATAAACCTGGTCTGCTTTATGGCAACAAGGCAGCAGCTGTGCTGTGCTTGAGGGCAATACCTGGAAATGAAAGGAAAGCTTTCCCTTACCTCCTGGGAGTCCTGGCACTGGCTCCAGCTTTATGCCAGAATCTGTAGTACCTTCTTTTTCCTTCTCTTTTCCTCTTGCCGCTTGGGACCTGAAATCCAAGCCCAATGCATTAGAAGCAGAGAGACTGTCAGGTGCTCATGGCTTCCCAAACATAATTAATTTTATAATTACATCAATTTTAGAAGCACTTCCTCAGAGGCCAAGAATTGAGAATGCAGTATTAACAGCAAAGAAAAAGGAGTTGATGATGTGGTTGGAAACAGCATACCCCAAGAAACCACTTCAAGTTACCCTCCCACATGCCACTCACCACTCAGGTGAAGTAAATACCCAGGAGGCTTTTACATACTTGCTTCCTGTTTTAGTTTATCAAGACCACTCCCGAGTTGAATCAGTACTACTTGAAGCTGAAGCCTTAAGCTAAGAGCAGACTTTCCAACACCACAATCCAGCCCTACCTTTGAAAAAAGAAATAAATGCTTTTGCCCCTCTCACTCACCTCCCCCACTTGACGTTGAGTCTGCGACCGTTGACGATGAGCTTGTTAAAGGACTTCTCAGCAGCCACTTCTGCAGCTTGCCGCGTGGCAAACTGGATGAACGCGCACTGCTGCCTCTGGACCACTGTTATCGTCCTGATCTCTCCGAATTGGTAGAAGTGATTTCTGCAAGAGAGGATCACAAAATGGGACTCTTCTCCTCAATTCCATGCAGTGCACGTTGCTTTACATTGCTAAATGCTCACTCTCTTATGAAATACAGACCCTTTCCCTTCTCCACTGGCAATTCAAATCCAGCTTTAGAACCAAAGGCAGACAAATGACTGTCAGTGACTGCTCCCGCCTCTCACATGTACCATTACGGCAAGGTTGTGCCAGGCTCTGACATGAATTTCCTCAGAGCTTATGCAGATGGGGGCTATGTAATTGCATAATGGGATTCTCAGAGCTTTGAAAGGGATGACTCAGCATCTTTGCAGGGAGTTGTCAACAAGTCAAATGTTGCTGAGATTTGTTATTCTTGCCCTCAGGAAGATTGCGCTCTACTAGCCAGCTTCTGGTCAGGAAAAACTGAACAAAACCTTTCAGCTCTTTGGGAAAAGAAAAGAGGTTCCTTGATAGAAGACCCCTTTTCACTATCATTCAGGCACAGCAACACAGATGAAAGGTTTGCCACTGTCACAAACACACCACAGGGCTAGACTTCAGACAGTCAGAGAAGCTAATGCAAGCTTGAAGATGAGAGATGCTCCTCCATACCTGAGATCAGTCTCAGTGATAGTGTCTCCGAGACCTCCCACATAGAGCGTAGTAATGCTCTTGTCATCAGGCGGGTCCAGACGAGGCATGGTTGATGCCCGTTTCAGAAGCTTGTCAGCCACAGGGTCATTAATACCATAGTAACGGTCCTTGATGTTCTGATCAGCCAAAGGATCATCTGGGTCTGTAGGTTTCTCATGTCTATAAAAGCATCATAAAACTGCACAGTTAGAGCTGCATCAGCCTACCAGGACTGTTACTGTCACTTCTCTTCAGCAGTTTGGCAACTAACCCAGTTAACACTGTTCAGGCGAGTGTATCAAAAGGGAGCACATGCTTACTAACTTATTACAGCAACTAACTTATTATAGCAACCTCCGACCCATGGAGCCATTTGATTTAGCCCACGGACGTGGAATTCCGGCAGCAGTCACTCTCCCTGTGCCTCTGCAGGGAACAGTGCTGGCTGTTCCTGGGTCCTAGCACACCCATCCACCTCTGACCTGAACCAGGTCAATCTGACCTGCAGCCTTAAAAGGCTTCCAACTGCTATATTCTAGCACGTGCAAGCTACACTTCTGAAGGAATGGCAGCTCCAGGAGTCAGATTTCAAACAGAGTACAGATCACCGATTATGGGACAATCAATGATGTGTAGACTGATCATTCAACCACAGAGACTATACAGTGCAAGAGAAAACTGCACTTATAGCATCTGATCTTTCAGCTGACTGTTCAACATAAGCAGCCAAGACTTCGATACTTGCTGGAATAAAACAATTAATGTATTAGGACATAGGTCTAGTCACTAGTGCAACATTTGCCTGAATGTTTATCAAGGCATTTCACTACCTCCCCCGCTATTTTGGAGAACCCCAAGGGGCTGCCCTCAAGTATGGCCAGTCCATTAGCTGTAATGACAACTGTACCTGTAAGGACACTCTTCCCCTCGCTTACATTCTCCTTTCACCCAGAAGGAACAGATGTGCGGGCGGTTGCGTTTGTAGTATGGGGTGGTCCGAGCCAGCTTAAGCAACATATCACTGGTTGAAGTAGCTTTTCCCAGAGCGCCAACTGGCCTTGTGCCATCAGAGTTTGAGATCTAGGCAGCAAATAAAGACAGGGAATGAAAAATGCTTGACAGGTTATTGATGCACATAATCAGAAAAACAAGAAAGCTTCCAAGATTACCCAATTTGTTCCACTTGCAGCTTATGTGAAGTAGTTCAGCACAAGTCATGGTAACAAATGCATTTCCTTACCTCTCTCTCCATGTTCTGGGTGTAGTACTCTTTATTAACATCAGATTTAGGCATGTCATCTTTCAAGGAAAGTCCTGCATCCCGGACCTGGATAGGCAAACCTACAATGGACAAACAGAATTAGTATTGATCTAAAAGAGAAAGAGCTGAAGCAGCTCATCCTAAGGTAATTGTATTCAAAGAAAGGCGCCAGGAAGAAGCACTTTGCCTGTAACAATTTGTTTTATATTGCATTACTTCAAATCCCCTAGGAATCATTAAATATTGATTTGATTGAATAATAAGTATTACTTCACAGGGCCAAGAAAGGAACTAAATAGACTGAAAGTATGTCTACTGTCAGTATAGCTTTTAAGTGCTTTTGTAAAGTCTGCTATAACACTTCTAGATACAGGATCTAGGTAATCCCAAGTATCCTTTATTTTCTATTAATCACTGCTAAAAGGAGTGTTTCAGTCTGGCAACAGAAAGCTAGCATGGTTCATATTTTTTGTAGCTCAATGATTCTAATGCTCTCAACACTGATGTCAAATGGATCTATGCTTAACTTCCAAACAGACTTGGAAATCCATAGCAAAATGGGTTATACGAAAAATGGGTGGAATATTTGTCAGAAGTTATTTAAATTTTTGCTAAGCTGGGATGTTTTATGCAAAACAGGCATACAGGTTAGAATCAAGTGTGCATTGAGTCCTTTTTTGAGTGAGCTGATTAATTTAGTTGAGCTACTTCATTCACACAAATTGCCCCAAACAGCCATTAGAGATAAATACAGATTTAGGGATGTATTATAACTAAGCAAAGACAGGAGACAAGGAGAGTTAGCCTTGATTTGGACATCCCGTTTTAGGTGAAATGGCTGCTGGAACATACCATATTCCAGGTCAAGCAGACAGGTTTGACAGACATTCTTCAGCTTGCTGCAGGTTTGGCATACTTCTGTCTTCTTAAAGCGCATGCGAACGCCGGGGCACCAGCGAAACACCGTGAAGGGCCTGGCACAGATCTGAGACAGAAAATGGCAATTTGCATCACTAACACTGGCATTCTAATTCTTCCAGGAAACTCCAACTCTAACAGGTGCCTCATTCCTGCCAATTATTTGCCTAATTTCAACACTACAATTCCAGCTAAAAAACCTAGCTCAAAATGACCTTTCTTGAATTCACTGAATTGTCAGGAGACATTTTGGTGGCATTTGCTTGCAATGATTTGAAAGTTCAAGGCAGCCTTGTTGGAGCATAAGGCAAGGAAGTGTTCAACTGTGCTCCAGAAGTCACTAAAATCTGGTCTCAGGAATTCAGGCCCACCCAAAGCAGGATGGCCCTACTGTGGAGCAATGTGTACAGTATGTGCCAGGGGGATGCACTTGCTTTCACCATATGCAGGAACTGTAGTGGGAGAGCCAAATCTCAGTGCACTAGTTGTTCTTGACTGAGATTATGGCTGGCTGGAGGAAACAATGTATTTCAACTCCCCCACTAGGTTGATACCAGACCTTATGTTTTATGTTTCCAAAGGACAGCACTAAGAGTCCTGCTTTTCTTCTTTTACGGAACCTGTTTCTTACATATAGAATCACAAAACATTAGGGTTGGAAGAGACCGCAGGAGGTCATATCTAGTTCAACCCCCTGCTCAAAGCAGGACCAGCCCCAATTACATCATCCAAGCCAAGGCTTTGTCTACCTGGGTCTTAAAAACCTCCAAGGATGGAGACTCCCCAGTTTCTCTAGGTAACCTGTTCCAGTGTTTTACTACCCTCCTAGTGAGAAAATTCTTCCTAATATCCAAACTAAACTTCCCTTGCTGCAATTTGACACCACTGTTCCTTGTTCTCTCATTTGCCACCAGTGAGTACAGTCTAGCTCCGTATCTCTGGGTCCATATCTACCATGGACAACTGGAAGGCAGGGGCATTGCTGTGATTTATAGGAAATCTGCACTCCATCTAGCATATTTCCAAGGGTAAAGTGAACAGGAAGTAAATTTGCAAGAAAGAAATGCTAAACTGGGTGACATACATGCAACAAAAACCCAGTACAGTGCAACCATGCTGTGCTGTTGCCTCTTTTGATGATAAAGTAACCAATAATCAACATATGTTGAAGCCATTCTGAGGGCTCTTTTATTTTTTCACTCTCTCCTTTCTACAAAACTTGCATTATTACCTTTCCTTCAAATGCCAAAGAGCCAAACCCTGCATCCCTTAGCATCAGCCTAGGGTTTCTGTGGGGTTCTAAGGAGCATGTTTGAAAACAACATCACAATCAACAAGGCAATGAGAAACACAGATAACGAAGCAATAGGTGCCGCCAACAGAATTATAGTTTATCTGACAATATCTTTTTCACATCTTTCTAAGTTCCACGTAAGAGAAGGAAGTTTTACAAAGTCAGCATTTATTAATACAAATATTTTTTCTTCACAATCTATTTTATATTTGCAGCGAAAGCCATTTTTGTTTGAGTACGATTATTTTCTTGCAGAGTTCGAAACCTAAACATCACAGTGTCCTGCTATCCCAACAGAGGACAGCCTAAATGGTGAAAAAAGGAAACAGACCTAAGCCAATCCTGAGAACTAGTCACCCATAACTTTACTTGTGTGAGAAGATCTACTGATATTGATGAACAAATCGCATGAGTAGATTTACTTTGCACAATTGGACTATTAATGCATTCATATGGTTAAGTACGTACTTTAGCAATTTGACAATTTCCATTCAAGACTGGAATCTCTCTCAGAAACTAACCTGCGAGTACAGAAGCCAATTCCTAAAATAAAAGTAAACCCAAAAAACTTACCTTACATTCCTTTCCATATTTCTCTTTGGTCTGGAACAAAATAAAACAACAATAAGTAAAAAAAAGAAAAGAAAATGACATAATAACAATTTAATGCTAAGATCCATTGATTATAGAGTTGGAAGGGACCCAATGAATCATCATGTCTAAAAAGTTATCTTGTAAGGCATCTCTTCTCCATGCCTTACAAGATAACTTACTGCTTTAATATATTCCACCCAAACATGCGTGCCTCATTGCCCCAGATAAGGCACGTTTTCCTTCTGCTCAGGGTGCACTGGAGACATTTAGCTCGTTATTTTCGCTGTATCAGGATGTCACCACAAGAAAAATGACACCAAACCCCTTTCAATTTTTAAAGCAGTATTCAACAAAATGCTTAAAAATTTTTCAAAGAAACCTCTCAAGTTTGTCTTGGGGCTTTTAACGCTTGTGGTCAGCAATTGCAGATGCATAAAATAAGAAAATAAACCCATTCTCCGTGTTTGGAAAAAGACCATGATCGCATTAACAATTAACACATTCGAATCCCGTGAAGACCCAACACATGCACCCTCGTCATTAGCGACAAATGTGTGCTGATTTCATCTCAAATATCAGATTCAGCCAATAGTTTTCATCGTTTCATAGCTGTTAGGGGCTGCAAGGGACGTTTCGGGGTGGGTCTGATGGCGACGCCTCCCTGGCCTTGTCCCTTTCCCGAGGAGCCAAGATGTTTGTAGGCATCTTGCCGCCTTGTTCGCTCAAGCCGATATTGACATCCTCTGAACCCGCATTTCACATTAACGCACACGTTAAAAGCCCTGGACCTAGACTATGTGGCAGAGGCGATCTCTTTTATTAGACCAAGAGGGTTTTTGGTTTTTTGTTGCAAAAATGTAGTCGGTTCTAATCAAAGACGTCACACCTCTACCATGAGTCCCGCTGCCTCTACTCCAAGACGGCTACAACCCGGGGACCTGTCACGTACCATTCGGATGTAGGGGTTTTCTCCAAGGCATGTCTGACACAGAATGGGGAAGTCCTGCATCAAAGGAGGCAAAAAAACAGAAATAAATAAATCAAGCGGAGGCTAAACTTTAGAGCTCGTGTCTAAGCTGCTCCTCCTGTCCCCGCCAAGGTCCCACAAGCCACCCGACCGTTCCACGAAGGGGTAAATGACCCCAGTGCCCGATGCAGCCACAGCCCACCCCAAACCCTGCCAGGCCTTGCTGCTTCCTTCCAGGAGCAGGCCTCAGGACAGCAGCAGGCCCCTGGCTGCCCCTGCCCCCCCAGCCAAGGCCCAGGGGTGGGGGATGAGGGGCCGAGCTCCAGAGGGCCCGGACACCGCCCTCACCGCGTCCTCCCAGTTCTGCCGGTTGTAGGTGTTAGAACCCAGCGACGTCGCCATCTTGGAGCCGGCGCCAGCAGCCACCGGAAGTCTGGGCCCCGGACGGGCAGGAAGTGCCACCCGCACCGCTCTTGCCGCCGCCCAACCATAGAGAGGGGCCGTCCTCAGGCCCCCTTCGCTCCCGGAAGGCCTCGGCGTTGCTCCGCGCCTCCCGGAAGTGGCCGGGTCTCCCCGCCGGAAGTGGGAGAGACCACTCTGTCCCGCGGGGGGAGGGGGGGCGCACCGCAGGCGGCTTAGCACGTGGAGAGCGACCAGCTTCAGGAATTTGCTTTTTGCTATTAATTCATTATTAATAAAAAATATTAATATTAATAAAATTATTACTATTTATCCATTAAATGTGTTATCTATTAACTTAATAAATTCATTAATTATATTACGATTAGATTATGAATTTAATACAGGAATTAGAGTTGGGGTTATTAATAACTTTAATAAATATTAATAAACTAAATGTGCTGTTTATTAATGAATTAATGTTAATTATGATCAAATTATGAATTTAATATTAATTAGATTTTGGGTTATTAATAACTTTATTAATATCAATAAATATGTATCAAACTAAATATTGTATCTATTTATTAATTAAATGAATAAATTAGTGTTTATGTTAGTTCATTATAACTAAAGTATGAATTCAATACATTAAATATTTTATCTATTAAAAGAAACATTTGATCTATTTAATAAATTGATGTTAATTATGTAAATTAATTCTGTTATAATTAAATTATGAATTTAATGTATGAAATCAATTTTGGCTGCCACTCAATTCGCATCTTTTATTAGACCAGCTAGATTTTTGCAAATAAAAATGTCTTTGTAATAATTTGGGCACAAGCACCATTCAGGCATAAGAGAAAAGACTGTAAAAGTTTTTCAATTGACAGTAGTTTTAGGGGGTGCCCTGAGGTTGAGACCCAAGATTATAGAAATGAAAGGCTTCACGCGTATTTGGTATAGTGCTGACAGTTACTGAGGAGACGAGGATTTCTTAGGGTAATGCCTCTTTTCTTGGATCAACTCTATAGCCGAGAGAGAGCCTAATAAGAGAGAGCACCCAAAGAAAGCCGCACCGCTTGCATTGCTAGACCGTTGTGGCTGCTTGCTGCTGTAATGTTTCTATGGGATTAGTTGCATCATCTGACAAATGTTTCTCATCCAAAAGTGGCGGGGCACAGCATCATTCAGCGGACAGCATGAGCTGTGTCAAAGCAAAAGCAGATCCAAACTTTTTTGCCAATGTTTAGCCATAAAAAAAGTCAAGTGACCCGAGCTGAATGTAGCCCATGTCATTAAGAAATGGAGCAACGAATGTGAGTTTCTGCAGCATCACATGAGGAGGTAGGATAGTTATGTTGCTCTTTAATACTGTTATTGAATAAAGGTAACAAAAAAACTAGAGCCAACATTGTCTGCTTTATTTATTTCAAATTCACTACATGAAGTTAAGCAATAAGGCAACACAGTAATCTGTCCTTAGTGGAGTCAACATCAATAAAGGCAGAGTGCTTCCACTGCTCCCTGTGGGAACAAATGAGAAGTTTCTGCACAAAATGCACGGAAAACAGCTAAAGTTACTCCTATTTGCTATAAGCTGATCAAAGTAAAGAAAGATTCACTGGATTAATTAAACTGTTCAAAGCCCATGTGCCCTTCTACATTTTCAAACTAGCAAGTTAGAACCAAGTTACATCTCTCGCATTAAAAGTAGTTTTAATTAAGAGTTGCAGAACCTCTCGTGCTGTAATCCCCAACAGCAGCATTCCAAGTTCTGTAGTTAAAAGCAGTCGCTTTTCCTGACTGCAGCTTGAAAATCTCACTCAGTCAAAAATATAGTTTGGGTAAGATTGATTTGCTTTTTAAACAATTTGTGTTGCTAGTTTGCTAGTTATTTTGGCTGCTAAAAAAACCCACAACCAAAGCTTTGAAGCATTTTGTTATCTAGTCAGGTAAGACAGCTGCAGACACTAACGCTATACACTGAAGAATAAATACTGGGCTACGCTTCATAATTTCATGCTGTACATCTGTGTATTAACTATGCAAACTTGTAAACATGAAGTTTCTGCTCCAAGACCCACCAGACAGACTAGCAAATAAGGCGCTCCCTTCCCAGAGGCTGTAAAACCGTATTCAGCTCAATCACACGCCCTGTGGACTCATGAAGGTTGCAGTTCCTGTTTGACTGAAAAGAACTTTTGAGCTGCACCCCAAGATGCCCTAAAATATTACATTATGATTTCACGAAGATATAAATACACATTCCCCCATACAGATGTGATACATCTTATACTAAACAGTAGAGTTATAACAATATTGTCCTCACACAGATGTGATACATCTTATACTAAACAGTAGAGTCATAACAATATTGTCCTCACACAGCATGTAACTAAATAAGTGGCCTTCAGACCCTTCACAATATCACCAGGTTTCACAGCAGTGCCAAGAACAAAGTATTTTGTACACCTGCATTTGCTTCTTGAAGAGATATTTAGCAGGTCGCCACTTGCAAGTGAAAAAGCAACTGAAGTCTCTGTAGGAAGTGGAGTCCCAAGTTGCCTACACTAATACTAGCTACTGGTACTGGTGGCATGTTACATCCAGGGTCAAGGACACAATGCCATTTGTAACTGTTTTCAACTCAAATTCATGGCCAGATGATACTTTATGGCAGCAGATGCATTATCCTGAAATGTTTTCACTTCTGAAGTGCTTGACTCAACTTTTCTCCTAATGTGTTCTGCTCAAGCTCACACTTTTCCTCTGCCACTGTGCCCACTCCTAACTCGCCTCAGGGAGGTCCTACGTACTTTGAAACTAAACTTAACCATCAGAACTTATTCTCTGGTTGACTCCCTCATTGAAAAACCCTCGAGTGTGAAGACAGGCACTCAGTCCTTCAGTTGTGCCTTTGCTTCAATAACTGTAGCAGCAGCAGCAGCTTCATTCCAATGACCCGCTCAGGTCCTGAAGTATCAAGCTATACCACACATTTTCCAATAGAAAAGGCTTCAAATGGCACTAAGTATAACTCAAACTCACAAGAGCTACAGAGGACTATTCTTTAAGCTAAGAGGCAAACGCTTCTTTATATATCAAAGATCCCATGCTTTGTCCTCCCGTAAACTACATGGGGCATGTAATTTTTTTTCATATAGTTATGCCCAAGTGCCCAGGGCTAAGGGAAATTTATTAAGCCAACGAGATCTACCAGGAAAACAAACTAGTATCATGCTGATGCCACAGGGAGTTGCTGTTTGAGAAGAGCCCTGGAATGTTTGCTAATGGAGTGCACGCTTTGATACAGAAAGGAGGATTAGTGTTGTTGTGCATTTAGGACTAGTTTGGTGGACCTGGCATGGAGAATAGGAAAGCCAGAGCAGGTTTTTTTCCCTGTTGGTAAAGCTAACGTGACTTTGGCCAAGTAGAGTGCAGATCTAGAGGCTTTCTCTGTGCTCAGCTTTGTGCTGCAAGTCAAACAAGCGTGTGTTGGTTTAGCAATACCACGGATTCGCAAAGTGGGCATCAAGGCGAGGGGAAGAGAGAAGAATGCATTGGCTGAAAGCGGCTTCCTTCCCCCTCAGCTATGCAGCCTCCTCCTCTCTTGGCTTGAATTTGTAGTGCGTGTACATGTGGCAAAGGAGGCTTCAGAGCATTCCCCAAGGTATGTTCTCTCACTGTGACCATCTGTCCAGTGGCCAGCTTTTGAGATTCAACTGTCAGGCGCCTCTTATGGGAGCATGGGGCCAAGGCTGAGCTCTACGTGGTGGGTGAGCCAGATGACCTCTGAGCTCTGATCACCCTCTTCGCTGGGCCGGATGGGAGCAGCAAGGTTTTTGAACTCGTGCTTCATCTTAAAGCTCACGGTTACTTCGCCCTCCTCCTTCTGTGGAGTGACTTTGATGAAAACTCCCACCTTGTTGGCTTTTCTGAAGGCAATTACGCTGCAAGGTAAGGGACAGTGTCATCATCCACTCTTAGTGGCACCACATCCACTTTTGGGTTATTTTTATCACTACATAATTATACCATTACTACAGGCTGTAAGCTTTGCAGGAAAAGTTAGCACAATTCTGTTGATTACACATGGCAACAGAAGCTCCCTCCAACAGCTGTCCTAGCACTAAGCAACCCAGAGAGAAACAAGTTTCTAGAAGGGTCCCCAGTACAAACAAGAAACCAAAGCTCTGCACCACAGCTTGGTGGAAGCCAACGTGACAGGAAAGCATGAAGTACCAAGTATGTTTGGGACCTGACCTCTGAGCAGGAAAAACTGAACACTCACTCAGGGTCATCCTGGAAATCTTGAGGTTCTGCTAGCTCATCATACTCTGCTGCAGCATCTTTCCCAGCTAGAATTAGCTCCTTGGGAGGAACTGCTACCTGCAAAAGAGCATGCCAAAAAGGTGGGTTTCAGTACTGCCTCCTGCTCGTGGATCATGGGCCAGTGTAGACTAGACTTCACAAGGGAGCATCTGTTCAATGGATACCGCAGTGGGAGAAGGAAAAAGAGTCCTGTGGTGTTCTTCCATTCTTTACATTTCCTCCTCACTCAGGCAAAGGATCGCTATTACGCTTCTCCCCTGGATTAGGAAGTCACCTCGAGCTACACAGCTGTTCGAGGTGTTTTACAAAGTTCTCAGATTTTATGATTGTAACGTTAATGGATTAGGTTTAAGACCCAGAAGAAATGTGAAATGGATGCTATAGGGGCTGATGTAAATGAGTCCCTCTGTCATAGGAAGAGTTGGGCACTGTCCAGCCCAGCATATATGAAAGAACAACATTTTGGACAAGGGACAAGTTATCAGCTTGTAAGGCAAGAGGACACAATACCTTCGCAGTGCTGTTGATGTCATCGGGGTCTCCCTCCTCACACTCCATGAGCGTGACATGGATAATGTTTTCCACTGGATTGGTCAGAGTCAGAAGAACTTGACTCTCCTGGTTAGATATACATGGAAGCGTACACAGTTAGGAACCTGTTACTCTGGGGAAAGTTTTTTTTTTTTTTTTTTTTTTTT